GCCAAATGCTGCTAATTCCAACAGTAATTAGGGCCATTACTTTCGGAAGTTTACGGTAATTTATCCGAGATCACATTTTTACCAGTTTGAATAAACAGTCATCCCGTCGTTTTCCCCGCTTTTTTTGTTTAATTCATTAGTTGATGTTCATTGCTTAAGTTACAGGAGAACTTTTCTCTTCACTATATCTCTATATCTCCAAATATCTTAACGTCTACTGACCTTCATCTTGGCTGGATTTCCTCAAGGGGTCTAACTTTTCTCTGACGCTTTTCGTTTGTCTTCCCATTTGTTCTTTGAGGTTTTTTGAAAAAGAAAAGTCAGAACATCAGTTATAGTTTAAAGCATATACAGTTTGCTCTGTATAAAACGTATTTGCTAAGCCAGACAATCAAGTACTAGAGCCTTTAAACACGAAGTGTTTTTGTAAAACCGAGTGTACATCAAGTGAAGCGAGCAAACACATCCGGGATCCCAGAGGCCGATCCCAGATGTAAGCTAAACATACATAAATTACATCGTTACACTGTCCACTCACGTTTAGCCTTTTTTTGTGTCCTTTATTTCTCAGAATTGTAGGAAACGATAAAATACACTCGATTAGTGAACAAGCTCCCAAGAGCTGATAGTACACCATTTTGTTAATGTTAGCTCCAGTCCCTTGTGGGGGCAAAATTTGATCTATTTAATAAATTAATGAGGCCATTTTTGGCCGAGTCATCACTTCTTGCCCCCACAAGGGAATGGAACAGGAAATATTTGCATTATAAAAATGGCCCATTAACACTAGTCTGTTCTAGGCTCTCGGACAGTGGCTGACCGAGAGCCTGGAACAGGTATTGAAAGCCGTTTGTAGCAAAATTTAATCCTCGCAATGTATGTTTGATCCTTTAAATAATGGTTCTATTTAACGAGTAAAAAGACGCTCAATCCAATCGTAAATAAAATTTTTGCTTCAATTCAATCTTTTGAGTTTCATGATTCAATCCAATGCCCTGAATATTGATTCAATCCAATACCTCGAATATTGATTCGTCTTCATCCTACTCCTCAAAAAAACACTTCAATATCCATAGTTTTGGTCACTTTACTATGCAAAGTTGCTGCAAAAAGCGACAATGACGTCACGAATTTCCACCATGTTAGAACCGGTGACGCGAGCTAGTTTCCAATCCAGTCTCTTTACTATCCATGGACACACGCGCGTACACGCTGCGAGGATTTTTACAGATGTAGCGCGGGGAAATGGCGTTCGAAATTCCCGAAATGTTTGATGCTTTTGGCTCACAACTCAATACGTTCATGTCTGTTGGAATTTTACTTCAGTATTTTCGTCGTAAGCTGCTCCAGTTTGAGTGAAGTAAGACAGT